GATTAATACCTCTAATTACTCACATTTATACACCAACCATTAAAGCCAGTGATGATGAAATTGAAGAATTCTACCAACTTCTTTAGTCTGTAATTGATCAAACATGAAATAAAGATGATTTGATAATTACTTGTGATTGTAAGACAAATGTTGGAAACAAAGAGGAAGGATCAGTAGTTGGAGAATATGGCCTTGGTGATAGAAATTATGCTAGAGATCGCATGATAAAATTTTGCAAAATCAATGACTTCTTAATTGCAAATAACTTTTTAAAATAGCATAAAAGAGAATTAATTATACACATGGAATTCTCCAGATGGAATACGTGGAATTCAAACTAACTACATCTATGGAAGCAAATGGTGTCAAAACTCCATACCACCAACCAAATCCAGGCCAGGGGAAGACTGTAGAAAGAGACCATTAATTGCAAGACCATCAATTGTGCATATGCAAGTTCAGGCTGAAGTTGAAGGAAAGTAAAACCAATACACGCTAGAAAAGCATGACTTTGAATATACCGCACCTTAATTTAAAGATCATCTAAGGAACAGATTTGATGCATTTTATATTAATGACTGAAAAGCAGAAGAGTTGTAGGGTAATATCAAGAGCATCATGTAATAAGAAAGCAAAAGGTCATTAAGAAAATAATAAAGAAAGAAAATACCAAAGTGCATGTCATAAAAGACTCTGAAACTTGCTCTCCAAAATAGAGATGCTAAAGCAAATGGAAGAAGTGAGGAGGTAAAAGCGCTGAACAGAATATTTCAAAGGGAGCTCAAGCAAACAAAATATTAAAATGAGATGTGCAAAGATCTGGAGTTACAAAAGCAAAAGAGAAGAACATGCTCAGCATGTCTAATGTTGAAAGAACTGAAGAAAGTATTCAAGATTTGGTTTGTAACACTGAAGGAGTCTGTGGGCAAAATATTGAATGATGCAGAAAGTATCAAAAGAAGATAAAAACCTATACTTATGGATGTAGTAGCTCAAAAGAGGGTACGAGTCTTTACAGCAAGGACCATTTCCATCCCCTTGGTACACAGGGTTGACAGGGATGGGCAACTTCGACATAGGCTATCCAAAATGGGGGACTACAAAGGCATGAAGTGACTGGCTTACAAGTTTTCAAGAGGGAGCCTAGTTTCAGAGGGTATGGGGAAGGTAAAATCTCCACTGGGGGATTTCCAACCTGTCTGGACAGGGCTTGTGAAAGGAGATGGGGATAAAACTCTGGTGGTCCAATAGTGAATAATTGCTATCAGGACTGATTAAGAGTGTTGCAAATGTAAAGGTAGACAGTTTGTAACAAAAGGAGGGGAGTGGTTGATCTTGCAGTCCAGGAGTGGAAGACCCGGGGATCATCAAGGGAGAAGAGCAGAGTGCAGGACTCTATCCAGAGAAGCAGTGACACCAGAGATGGAGGCAGAGATGATGACGGAGAGATGAAGTGGCTGGGGACCCTGGACTCAGGGAGGGAGAGGGGCTGCGTGCTCTTTGGTTAATTTTTAAATGGTTGTATATACCTGAGAGCTTCAGTGTACATCCAAAAAAAGAAAGAAAGAAAACAAAACAAAAAAAAAAACCAGAGGGAATGGAGGCAAATGCTTTTGAATGATGACGCATGGAGGGGATTGTAATCATTGCAATGAAATGAAATA